TAAGAATTATACGAAACTAAATCTGTTTTGAACGAGTAATACATTACAGTAAAAAAAATGCTTAAAAAATTATCTTTTATTTTCATTAAAAGATCATGTTACCTTAAAGTTACATTAAATTTTCTAATTAAGATATATTTTTAGGATCGACATTTTTAGGGAGATTGTGTGTACACACACGCACACATACACATACACGCACAAACTATGTTATTTTTTAATTATAATATTGTAGAGGACATTGAAATGAATTTAATAGATACCAAGAAAATATCTCTTCTGTTCATACTTATAACATATTAACATCATTTAATTAACAATACTTGAATTACGCTTTCTTCGAATGATTCTATATTATTCAAACTTCAATTAGAAATATAAACATATTCGAATTAAAGTAACTCTTCTCTCATTAAATATTATTGAAACAACGATTATTATCCACTCAAGATTCAGAAAATATTGATAAGAATTCATGTCAATGGCTATTATGATGTGTTATTAATGTGAAAGTCGTTTTCAGGAAATGTTCAGCTAATAATAAGAAACTCAAGGTGACCTCGATTTTTTCATGAAAATAAAGGATTATTGATACTTTTTTCAGCAATTTATTGTTTTCCCAAAACACAGTTTTGTATGCAACGGTAATAAGTACATCTGTTTATTGCGAATGCCTCATAAATCATGCCCGTTACGGTAAACATTTTGTGTACAGGATATAAACTAATTTGCACCGTTTACATAGCGCTATTCTGTACGAATACTTGAATCGAGAAGTCTTAAGACATTTTCTTCTGTGAGGTTGCTGATTAGCTAAACTTTACTTAATAATTATCACTTTATTAAGTTTCACACAAATGGTTCAGAACAGTGGTCATACTTTTACTTTCGAGGTGATTTTCAAGAGCTACCTCAGCACGCCCGGCAAACTACACAACTGACGGTACTTTGCTTCAGAGCCGTTGAACATCATAATATCTGTGAGGCGTTTATTAATAGCCGAAAGAAATGTATCGAAACCTGATTTTGTAACTACCAATATATTTATATTATTTATATATATTGGTAGCTTATAAAAATATTATATATCGAGTTATTTCGATAAATTTCTTTCAGCTATTGCTAAGCGCCTCATAGATATTATGATGTCAACGGTTCTGAGGCAAAGCGCCATCAGTTGCATGAAAGTAACGCCGAGCACTGGCTTAGAACTTTTCGACTCAAGTTTCCACAAGAAATAGCACTGTGTAAATAGAGAGCACGAATTGGTTTACATCCCGTATATAATACATACATGTATATATATATACATGTATGTATGTATATGGAGTATACATGCGTAGCAATGCGGAGCCTGAAATGTAAATTATTATAATGAGTTCATGCGCACTTCTTATCGCAAGAAGACCTATGTACCGAATGGAAACAATTTAATATTACACATACCTTGTTTAGCTTGAAAACGGGACGAAGGTAGACGAGTAGTTATGTACTCTGATGTATTTAAAACATTTAAACAATAAAGAGCTATTGCTACTGATCAAATTTCGAAAATCAAATCGTGTGAGCCTTAACGTTAATTTCGTAGTCTTTCCATAGATAATAACATATAAATTATACATACTTCGGAGAAAAATTCAAAAGAATATAGATGCTTTTGTAAAATTTTATATGTTTATCTTAAATCGGTATAAATATATATGTAGGTGTTTTATTAATATCTGTTTAAATACTTTTTGCGAACTATAGTTTTATAATGTGCAATAACGTTCGTCTTTGCAATTATTGTGTCTTACAATATTCTCGCAAGAGATAATCTGTAACACACATTTATTTTCGAAACCTATGCCACTGCCTAGATCCTCGAAATTTATTTCGCTACTTAGGCACATGTGAAATAAACACTTGCAGATTCCTTGTAGGCTCAAGAATTTGCGATCTGTTCTAGTGATTGGTGTGATTATTACCGTTCTTCGCTACATGGTATATTGTGACTTGACGAAGATTGTTGTTTAGCCGCAGGTGGACAATTATCCAAAATCGACTCAAGAGCATAGAGTTTGACGAGCTCCTGCTGAATATGATTCAGACATTCTAAGCGAACAGTCCTCTTATCAGAATCCGTCGAGTTTTGATGAATTGTCAAAGCATTTAACAATAATTGCCATCCATTCTCTTGAAATTCACGAGTCATCTTTTCGATCATTTTTCCATCTGTTTGTTCTTGCTGTAGCGCAAGATTCTGTTAACAAACGATAAAAGGCATGTATTAAAACTAATAAATTCAGTAAAATATATATCATTGAAGTATATGCATCATCTCAAAAAACTTGTCAATTATACGTTGTACGAGAAATTGTTATATACAAAAGTTGTATAACTTCGAGGGGATCATCACACAATGTACACATTTTTTTTTTTATAAATGGAGGTGCTTCGGAGATTTCAAGGTCCGCTTCGTTTTTTTTTTAATAATGTTATAATGTTATATAATTTTAAAGAATGTTATAATTTGTGTGTCATCGTTAGAAAGTACGTTTAATTTTGCGTTTAAATGTTTACCGTTAATTAGCCTGATAGATAACGAGATATTCAAGGAAACAAAGAGTAACAAGAAGTTGAAGATTTAATATCTTCGTTTCTTTGAATATCTCGTTATTTATTTTAGGTTTAGACCAATTATATAATAGTAATGCATTTAAACGCAAAATTAAACATACTTTTTAACGATGGTACAAAAAAATATATCGCAATATATTTAAGCGGTACAATTTATTTTCAACGTTGAATTTAGCGGAATACATTTTCTATGCTTCTGTACTTCTTGGGTAAATATACAACGATATCTTAAGTAATTTTCAATTATTTTTCAAGTCCCTTTTGCACCGAATTTTCATTGAGAAATGATTGCAGAACTTTGTTGTCACATTTACACACAAAAGTTCCGCTACATTCACAGATACTAGGATCAAAATCATCCTTGAATCATTGAAATCAATTTCTACAAGTTTTATTGCTTATTTCACTAACACCGAAACCAACAATAGGTTTCACATATCACATAAAACATCGTGGATGTGCGCATGGACGTGAGAATATCTGGACGGAACATAAACTACTTTTATGGATGCGGAGAATGAAGTCTGATGAATCATCGCCACAGCAATCTTGATACCTCAGATTTATACATAATGAAAAACTATAGGCAACGGAGAATAATACAGGCAATAGACTTCCAACCTATCGGAAACTGTGTATGCATAGCATTGATTCATTTAATTTTTCATTGTGCATTGTCCTCTTGCATCTGTTTTCACATTGCGCAGCATTATCCGACGTTAATCTAGACGTTGAAACGATTCCACATTTTTCATTTCGGATATCAATCTAACAAGTTCCGATTGTTGGACTTGTGTTGATATGTTTACGAATATATTTGTTACATGAATAAATTATATACAAAGTGATTTATATCTAACGAATTCGGTTCTCCGCACTACACCGGATTAATGCGCATTAAAAGTTGCTACATATGAAATATATAAATGCGATATAACCTCTTTGATGATGAAATGATTTGATGTACCTTTTGATTTCAATGATTATGTTTAGCAGCTTTTAGCGATCGAACTCGTTAATAATGGTTAATATAATGAATATATTAATAACATATATACAATATGTCAGTTGTGCTGAAAGCTGTAAAAATAATAATAGTTGAAAGAATAAAACAAAATTGCAATGGGAACAGTCAAGATCATATTCCGTGAAATTATCGGCTGTCCTGATCCCTCATATCCGTTACAACAGACATTCATTCTCTTCCATCTTTCCTGGTTCACCCCCGCGGGTGGTGTTCCGTCCAGATGTTCTTATATCTACGGATATACGTGTATATAAAATGTTCCAGGATTTTTCAACCAAACTTCGTTAGTATGTTTTTAGAATTATAGAGAAATAAACAAATGTTACAAACGGGTAGGTATTTTCCTACACGTAGTTAGATGCTTTAGGCATTAATATCACTTGCTACTTTTGTATTATCACTTACAGCTTTTGTATTGCGAATGTTGAAGCTACTATCAACAGCAATTGCCCAAACAGCACAGATGCCCTGTGGACGTCCTTAGGATGTCTTAAGAATATCCATAAGACGTTCACAGAACGTCCATAATATATCGTGTGCTATTTCGGTGGTTACATTAATTTCTGATTTTCTTATCTGTGTACATACTAAGAGACAAACCGTTATCATTTTGCTCCTATTTCATATTATTATTACAGTTTTTGAAGTCTTAGATCTATGTAATATTTTTTATTTCTCTCTCTCCATCTCCCTCTCTTTCGCTCTTCAACACATAACATATTAACGAAGTTTGGCTGCAAAATCTTGAGACATCCTATGTATATACTTTCACGTTGCTCATAGTGCCGAGCATATGATCGATTGATTCCAGAATATAACTTTTTGTGCTATAAAGATCCAGCTTTGCTAAATGCGCAGGTCCGTCGGATATAATTTCCCTTGCTTTATCAATATCAGATTTATCAATTGATTCTTTGACTGGCACGAATGACTTGCTCGTTGTGCAATGAGAGTCGTCATCAGGAATTTTCGGTTTCATCGTTTTCTCGACATCGAATTTCCGTCTGTGGTTTTTCTCATTGTCCTCAATGATCACGGGCGCTTTGTGGTACTTTTGTTTCTCAAAATCTCCAAGCGTTTGATCAGCTTTCTTCTTTTTCTGGTAATCGTGTTCGTTTTGCCGACGATCGGCATCTCCTTCGATTTTTGTCTCCGTGACATATTTACTGTCTCTACCAATGCAATAACGCGATTTGCAATTCGATGCGTATGACTTATTGAACTGATAAACTTTTTGAGCGTAATTCATTAATACTTCATTGCCAGTATCGGAATATTCTTGCTCGTCCGGCGTCCCCTAAAATATGTTTGAAAGGTTAAAAAAGAAGACGAAGCGATTAATATTCTTTCTGATTCCTTTCATTAAAAATTAAATACCAATTAAATTTTGTACATATCAAAAAGCACACATACCACCTCAAATTTTCTGCAATCACTATGCTTCTTTAGCGTACTCTTCGTGGGTATTGATTCTACGTACTTGGAACATATTTCGACATCTTCATTGGCAAGATCCGAGTTCACCATGTCCCCCCTAAATACACTTGGAAAATACTTATCGTAATCTCTCCTGCGTGGCTGACGAATTTGCGGCAATCTTTTCGGATAACGAAGACGGGTACTCATTTGATAATCATTCCAGCACACTTTCTGCGATAAAGGACTACTTTGCGACTTCTTGATTGACAGATTATTTGGGTTTGCGCAAATACCTTCGTACTGATTTAGCATAGCCGTGATATTTCCCCAAGTTCTTCAGGACAAAAATCAACTCAGTTAGTTATCATTATTTAATTATTAATTATCAACAATCTCATTTGTAAAAATATATGTGTGTGCGTACGTATTCCTGATATTGTAAGCAATAAGATATAATAAGAACTATTGAAAAAATATATTTGCCTTGATCTATCAGATAGAGAAAGTCTTCGTCTGTCAAATGGACAATAACATGAAGGACAATGCCTCTCATAATTTTCCATTTTCTTTTTACCTGCCGCACTATCATGTATTTCCTCACAATCAAAATCACAGTTAGAACACAGATAGCTACTATCTTTATATATTCTTGCGGGTATTTTTTTGTATAACTCCATAGTTTCCTAAAATAAATCATATAGTTACGACAAAGACCGCATTCTCTTTGGACGTTCATGCACTGTAAGCGTCATTCTATCTTTATTATTCAGTAAAAGACAGAGGAAGATAAAATGATACAGCGGGTAAACGATCAAAGAGAATGCAGCTAGAATGTTAAATATTTAATTTTACTTAAACATAGAGCATTAATTTACCATATAATTACTAATTATTAATTTACCATATCCATCATATTCCGCGGCATTGTCGCAACTAAATGTTAAGATTTCTGCATACAATAACCTTACTAAAACGAAATTCCACCGAAGAAAATCGAACTGCTTTTATAACACTGTCACCAGGATGTAATTTATATTTTCCGAGAGATATAAGCTACATTTCGTTTCATTATCAATTATTTAACGAGTACAGAGTCGAAAAGTTCGAAGAAATGTAGAAAAAATATATTCAAATAATACGAAAAGTTATACGAACCGCACAAAAAACGAAAGTTCGATATGCCTTGTCGATGCGAATGTGTTTCGATTCAAGGCCAATTCATCTCAAAATTTAAGGCAGATTTAAGAAAAGAATTTAATATAGGCTGCTTTCCTTTTGGACACTGGAAAATTATTTTTCTAAAAATTTCTCATTTTCTCTAGAAATGGATCTTTTTAGAGAAAGTAAGATATTTTTTAGAATTTCTTAAAAAAATTTAGAAATTTTTTTTACTACTTCATATTCGTTAAAAAAATCACAGATTTTCAGAATAATTTTAAGTTTTCCGAAAAAATATGAAATAAAATACAGAAAATGTTTTTTTTTCTTTAATTTTCTCTGGTCTCATATTTTTCATACAGAAATGGACCTTTTATAGTAAAATTATATTTTCCATTTTTTTTTCAAAAAAAATTAAAGTTTTTTTGAAAAGTTTTGAATAATTCATATTATTTTTGAAATCGTAATTTTTTTTGCAAAATCATATAATTTGATAGAAAAAATTAAAATTTCACAAAATGATTTATTCAACTTCAATTTTATAAAAAAATTTTGGAAAATCTGGCCGATTAGCGACTAACGTTGCCCTATTAACCTCACAGGCATACTCTCATATCGACTCGTGCATAATAAAGATTTTAATAAACAAGACCAGGGCTCTTCCCGCACAGAAGCACCAGACATTTCGTGTTACCGTCTTCCACATCTAACCACAACCCGAATTCTGGTATCCAGCGAGTCCTACCGGCCACGGAAGGAGGTGAACCGTTACAAATTTTTTAATTTTCATTATTACGGTTAATAGATGATTACGTGTAAAGAATTTATAAAATTTCCGTTTAACATTTGAATGTCATCCATATAAACTCCACAAAACATCTAATAATCTATAGCTTATTTATATAACATTTATATAAATAGAGATATTATATAGAGAATCTATGAGAGATCTAATGGAAGTTAGAAATGCGGAACAATGGGTTACAAGCACCGTGACCCGCAGACTTAATGAACACCACGTTCCACGTGTGAGACATCATAAACAGCTTTTTTAAAAGATTTTATTGAGGTCTTCAAAAGGCCATCTTAACACGTTAAGTGCGAGCTCAACCTTTAGTTCGAACTGGACGTTCTTTCTCTATGGCGTGTTGTTTTTAAGTATATTTGAGTTAAAGTAAAAAAAGAAAATATGCCGCCACAGGGGTCGGATTTTTATATACGAGGTCTGTTCAAAAAGTATCGCGAATTTTGTGTTTTTTCAAAAATTATTTATTTATTCATGAATATCTATTTTGTCTCCTTCAAAGTAATCCCCATCAGATATTATACACTTGTGCCAACGTTTTTTCCAATCCTCGAAGCACTTCAAAAAATCATTTTTTGTGATCTTGTTCAGCTCCTCCTTCGATGCCGTCTTTATCTCCTCAATCGTAGCGTAGCGTCGTCCTTTCATGTGCCTCTTCAGTTTCGGGAACAAGACCTCGTATAGCCGCACCTGACGTGTTAAAGAACTCTCGCTCTCGCCAATATTCACTGGGTAATTATAGAATACTTTTAGTCAGAATATGGATACCGTTGGTCGATTTGCCGTACACAATAGGGAAATATTAGATGTACAAATAAATTCCATGCCTTTTTTACATAAATTTGATATTTATTTACAAAAAAACGAATTACGAGTCGATCCTAGAAATAGTTCCTATTATTTGCGACATTTACTTCTGCCATCTTTCAGGCAAATCCCCTGTCGAAAAAAAGATGGCAGTTTTTGAAGCGATAAAATCATTAATGCTTTTTTCGACCATCTCGGAAAATTTGAAATGGTAATCAATGACGCTGCAGTGACCGGGGCAGATGATAATCTGAGGGGGCAAGGTCTGGGGAATAAACCGCACGAAGAATTTGTCAGCCCAATTTAGAGATGACTTATAGGGTTGCTTTCGTCCCGAACGTACCTGTAAGTCGGCGATGCAAATCAGCGACCGAGAGTCTCTTTATATTGACGCAACATGTGGCCCTAATTTCGGTCAAGGTACTTAAACCATTTACCGGCGATAAAATCGCGAGCGAAATAACTAGGGAAATGGTATGCAACGCAAGAAGGTTTTTATAAAATAATATGAACATTAACTATCATATAAATTATGGCGTTATAAGCGTAAGAGTTCATAATATCAAGAATGAACCTATAATATGCGAAGTTTTCCATTCTTTTTGTATACAACTTATGTTTACATAAAAAAGATTTTGAAATTTGTTAATTTAATTTAGTGTCAAAAGTAGGGATTATATAAACCATAAAGTGTGCATACACGATTTGCAATAATATAGCATGAAAAATATTTATATATATAAGTAAATATAAATAACATACAAAACTTCAAAAAGTTTTTTTAGTTACATAGCAACTATAAAAATTACCCCTCCTCCAATACAATACAAATAATACTAGATATATTTTTTTATATAAAAAAAATGAAAAATTGTGGAATGTCATACTTTATATGAAAAAAAAAAAAATCTTAATACTTTATATGTTTAACAAAATTTATACTAGTCAACTAGATCTAGCAATTGTTGCAGTATAGTTTCTATATCACTGTCAACATTATTCTTCAATAAGACATCCCACGTACTGACATCGTCCAAATCGCATTCTCCTTCCGCATCATCTATACCTGAAATTTAATAAAAAGAAGCTGTAAATCTTTTCAATGTTATTATGCTATAATTGCTTGATACAATTTTATTTGATCTGTTATACCTAATGTATGAACCCAGCCACGCTTTTTTCTAACTTCCTCGGAACAAATTAAACGAATAGTTTTACATACATCTCCATAATTTTTTATAAACCACTGAATGTCAGTTTTTCTTCTAACATCGCTTACTATCCATACTGGTTTGTCCTGTGCTATAAAACATTAAGATAGAGAAATTTCTCTCATATACGAGCGTTATTTTTATAGCTAAGCAAACGCTAAGCGAGTAAAAATAAAATATTGATAGTTTTAGACTATTAACATATAGGTATAATATAAATGACAAAAAATGAGGTTGTTTTAAAAATGGTCGAGCTTGTGTTGCATCACTTAAGGTGGATTGTTTCTTCTCTACATGACATACCTTTGTACATATCTATTGCAGCACGACAAAAATAGCCACTGTCTTTTGCTCTCATACTCTCTCCCCATTCGGCCATTTTAATACGATATTCTTCCTTATATTTTCCACTTCCTAACAATTGATCGAGATCAAGATTCAGTAACTTGGCCCAGTGAGTTTTTATAGGTCCTGATAATCGTATAATCGTACATTTTTGTGGACCAAGCCTGGATTTCACGAAAATTGCTTTTTAGTCTGAGAAACAATGATAGAAACATGTGCAGAGTGTGTAAATTTTTGCGAAAAAAGTAAGCACTTTCGATAGATACAACTTCAATTTAACTTTTCTAAAACTGGGGTTATACTACATATTGGCTCTTCCTCATTCATGACGTGTATTCACAGCAATTTGTGATAATTTTGCGACAATTCAATGTGGATCGTCCACGCTGTTCACGAATTTTGCTTAAAGAAGAAAATTTTATTCGCGGTTATTAGTATTCTTGAATTTGCCATAACTGACCTATGAGATAAGAGATCATAGGACTTCTCCCTGGTTTCAAAGTGACAATAGCAGATACGAATAGCAAAGTTGATTATTGCAATAACCAGCAACGCAGTGGAATTGTGATACTAGGAAAACATTTTTTTGACTTGAGAAACTCATCCAAACTTCTTGGACAACCCAATAAATATTATATATATGTGATTTAATTTATCTTTTAAATATGTATTGTAAATACCTTTTACATAAGATGTCGGTAATATAATCTTTCCCGGACTTCCTTTTGCCACTGAATAACAAAATCCTTTTTGGTTTCATCGAGGTGTCTGCGACTTCTATAGAACCAAGCATCTCTAATGTCTGTTGTGCAACCATATATTGACACGTAATTATATAATCATGATCATGATATAAAAATACAAAGTAATAAGAACACACATAAAAAGGTAAATGTAAACAGTAAATAAATTGAACAGAAAATGATTGACTATAATCGACTATTTTTTTACAATCCAAGAATAATTCGTTGTTATTGGTCAATTTGCTTATTGCGTACAATGAAGGCAGAATACTGCAAAAACTAATTAAAAAATTGTTTCAAAATTAGCATACGGAATTCAAATGCAATATATTGTGCGGCGCGGTACAGAACAACGGACATGGGTTGCTGCGCGGACCAGTCACGGTAATAATTCGGACACAGTGAGTCCCGCAGTTACCGGCGAGTCGGAAACCGAGACGCGGTGATGTGAAACGAATGACGTAGAACCGACGACAGGTCGTTCCAACGCAGGTGCCTAGCGCACTTATTGCAAAAAAAAATCTCCTATTGTTCCCACATTTGCAATATACATCTACAAATCGATTAATAAATTAATTTGTCCAATTAGTTTTTACAGCAATCATATCTAGATATTATTAGTATACATTTACTTACATTTATTGAAAGTACTACATCAATTAAGATTGTCTAACCTTTTAACCCATCATACGCGTTTTTTCTTCTTCTCAATTATGGTTATAAACGGCCTAAAGGTCTCCAACACCATTGATTGCGATACTTTCTGCACACGAAGGATTCGTGTTCGTATTCGAAGCTTCTACATTCGATGCAGGCTTCTGTCCGTGTCGGCAGTCATTTAGATTGGGATGCTAAAGGATGTAAACAAATCGAGCAGTTCTGCTTTAAAGTTGAATTAAAAAAGTCGAATTAAAAATTCAAAATTAACCCGCAATTACCATGCGTAACTAGACAAAAAATTAGATATAAAAAACAGATAAATTATGCACCAGATGGTTGATTGGTATCTGTTGCGAATGAACACATCCACCGTGTAGATTCCTGAACGCAACTCTGGTTTGAAAATTTCGGTGGAAACTGAACCATTAATATCTGACGCTTACATCGATACACGCCTTGTGGAGTTTCTTTTTACTTCCGGTACGAAGAGCTTGTGCGTCAATATTCTAGGTTTAGTAATTCTTAGTTAAAAATCCATTTAATCTACTGTAATAACGAGGTGTTTTTAAAATTATAGTTTTCTTATTGGATATAATATTAATTCGATATATTTGCTTGTTATTGTTAATGAAAATTTCGGAGATATTCTCGTTGACAATTTATATAACCTTAATAACCAATCTACGGTACACTGTTAGTATATCCTGAGATATTGTTACAGATTGAAGTGGATAATTTCTAAGAATGGCGAAGTCAAAAAATCACACAAATCACAACCAGAGTAAGTTTATGATATTACAATAATTTATTACCAGTAACCAAATTTGAAAACTATGTTTTAAAATTGTGCGCTGAACAAAATAGGCAATTTTCTAAATTTTCAAGATCTTCCATAAAATTTAATGGAATATACCTTGTTTTAAATAAAACATTAAAAGTTTTATATTTGTTCTTGTTTCTTTATATAAAAATGTTTATTATTTTTCTTTAGACCGTAAAGCTCACCGTAATGGCATCAAAAAGCCGAAGAGATACAGGCATGAGTCTACACTTGGTGTAAGTTTCATACTAAGATGTTTTATCATTCTATTTATTTAAGTATATGTATATTTTTCGTAGTATTAAATGGGATATTTTGGTTATATATGTACAGGATGTTGCGTCAACATATGATGGGTTACCTGTCCAAAGATGCACGTAGTAATTTCAGATTTATCGATATAGTTACTCGCACATCTTTCTAATGAAATTATACCGTTCCTAATTATCATAATTTCAACAGATTTGCATCGTGAATGAGTAGGTGTCGTAATAGATCATATGTGATGTAACATCCTGTACACGTGTATATATTTTATTAATAAGGTTTGTAACGTAATTCATACAGAATAGAATTCGTTTTTTTTTTTTTTTAGTAATTCATTACTAAAATTATGTTTTCATATTTATTAAGGTCGCATAATAATGTGCTCTTTTTATATTTATTTATTCTATCTATATTTATTCAAATAATATTTGAATGAGTTAAGTGTGTGTGTGTGTGTGTGTGTGTGTGTGTGTGTGTGTGTGTGTGTGAGAGACATACACAGGGTGAGGCATTTAAATCGAGACACTTTAATATAATAAAAATAAAGATATGTTTCAGACAAAAGTTGTAAGGTTTGAAGGGGGACATATTTTGGTGACTTTAACTTTGTTTATTGTCAATAGAAGATCAGTTCAAGATCAACTTCATATTTTTCATGGAATCAGTTTTTTTTTTTAATACAAGTCGATTTTTCGGTTCATTCTGTAAAATACTATTTTTTCAAATTTTTTCTATATTTGCTCACAGCAACGATTCTACCTTCTTTCATTCTACATATTTACAGGTGTTAAGATAATATTATCGAAAAATGAATACTTTATGAGATATTTTATATCTCGTATTGAAAAATATGAAAATATAAAGTAAAATATCTTACAAAGTATTCACTTTTTGATGATCTCATCCTAATATTTTTATATCCAGAATGAACAATCAATTTGTACTAAAGCAACTACATATAATACCATAGAAACAATAAATTAATTTTTAATTTTATTAAGAAAAAAAATGAAGTTAACCTTAAAATGACCTTGACTTATTGATTCCACCTCCATACTTTACAACTTTTGTGTGAAGCATTTCTTTTTATTTTGCTTTATTTTTGTTACATCAAAGTGTCTGAATTTATTCTATTGAATATAAACGTTAAGTAAGAATATAAGTTTCGTGTTACGAAACTCTTAAGGAGATATATATCTGTGGATTTACTATGGTTAATATAATTTAAATACTTATTGCATAATGAATTTTATTTATGAATATTATTACTAATTTTTTATGTGTATCTCTTTCAGATGGACTTGAAATTTCTTAGAAATCAGCGTTTTGCTAAAAAACATAATCTCAAACCAAAAGCTCAAAAGAAGAGAGCAGAAGAGCGAAAGGCTCTTCGTGAAGCAAAAAATAAATAAATTTGTTGTAAAATAATGATTTTATTAAAATAATTAAAAAAAAATTTGATGTTAAAATTTGATTACTTTCTACCTGTCCAGATAGACAGATTGAACATACATTAAGACTCGGCTATCTATAAGTTTCTACCGCGGGAAGTTAAAGTTGACAGTGGCGTCTAAAGCCAACAAAACTGCTTGTTTTCGTGCTGGATTGCTTACCGGATGGAAATACTGCGCTTTGATTGGTGTATTGTCATCCATTTTTGGAAATGCACCAATCAGAACGCAGTATTTCTATCCAACACGAAAACAAACATCGTATGCCGCTGGCTTTAAGCGGGCGTGTGGACGTTAAAAGCTAGTTATAAAATTAGTTACAACAGTATATAATGAACGCCGCGGGCGTTAAGTGGAACGGTGCGAAGGGCGATTTGGGTGTTGCGATTGTTATGTGGAACGTACCCAATCTCACACGAAGCATATTGTTACGTCCACGATAGATAACTATATAGGGAAACTTGAAAGTAGTAAAATCAGTGACTTACGTGAACGGTCAACAGAGTGATGACTCCGCTTTTGGGTTAATCTGCTTTTCACCAAGTTTACCCTGGGTCTCCGAAGTCTGGCGAAACGATCGATGAATCTGGTGAGAAATCAGAGCCGCTCGTTCTCCTGGCTCGGTCTCGGATGTTCCGGCGCTGCGCGGAATGATGCGGTCCGCGATTCCAATTTCGATTTCGCAACGTTTGAGAAATGGGGGGTAGACAAAAATAATTGCTACACAGTCGGATTTTACGACTAATATATCCCAAAGTATATAAATACACAAGTATCAGAGACTAATTATGAGAAAATAATCGCCTTCTCGACGAATGCGCTCGTTTTTATACGTTGCTTCGTCGCTGAGAGTCGTTTTCTGGTTGGCTGCTGGAGTCGTGGAGATGGAAGAAATTTATTCCATCGGTATGATGTCACCGCGTCGATATCGCCGCATCGGTCTTGAGCTTACTGTTATCGGTCTTGAGCTTACGGTCTTACTGTTTTCACCAGTGTGGCTCGTAACCTCGTGCTGATATACGTGTTTTTGGTTGGAATTAGAATGGTGTTTGGATTTAGGTTTCTTGCTCCTGTTTATGTTAGCAACGGGATGCCTTATCGCATTGAGAGATTACAGTTTCTCTTGTCTATAGTTGATCCATCGATTTTAAGACTCTCTAACGACACGTCGTTTCTTCGGCGTTATAATTTTAATTATAATATTTAACGTGCGCGAATATACATATGCGCACGTACTTACATCTAGTAACATAGGGATAAAATATCTATACCTAGTGAATATCTAACCTAGTGATGTCTGAAATCAGACAAGTCGGCCTCCGATCTGTACTAATATATTATTAATGTTCCAAAATAAGTCCGGACGTTACAATACTGAACCACGTTGAAGTTGCGTTCGGGAATCCGCACTGTATGCACAACACTAGACACATCTGTTCGTATAATACGAGGACTCTGTCACGATAATAAAAATATATATTTTTTTTATTAATTATCAATTACTCAGTTCTTTTAATAAATCTGCTTACATTTTGTTGCCACGCTTTAACAATTATTGAACACATCTCCCTCTTTTTCTTATACAGCCAATAAGAATCCATCTTCTATCCTTCAGTGTAGGCTTCACTCCCGCTTATCGAAAAACTACCGCTTCAGCCATATGTAGTATTACATATATATGACGTACACAGTGTGTATTTTTGGACGCAACTCTTACTGTTTTCACCAGTGTGGCTCGTAACCTCGTGCTGATATACGTGTTTTTGGTTGGAATTAGAATGCGTGTTACAAAGAATATCTGTAAGTAGAAAATTTAAATCTTCATTAATAATATTGGTGAACTACATTATACCTTTATTCTGCCCTAAGTTCTATTAAGTCATTTCTGGTAAATTTTTTTTTTCTGAATTTTTTCATGCCCAGTTTTTGAGAACATCTTACAGCGTTTTCGATTTATTGACCAAATTCGGGCAGCATTTCAGTATTCGTTATTATATTGCATACTATAATATACGTAACTGTAACTAAAATATATGAACTATAGATTGCAATATGCGAAGATTATCAAAACGCTGCCCGAGTCGGATCGAGTCGGCAAATCGAAAACAGTATCAAAGTTGTTGAAACAGGCGTTTTAATACTTCTGCGTGAGTTATATCTTTCGATAGAAACATGCTTCAGAAAACAGTGATAGCTCAAAATGTAGCTAAAAACTTGTGCTTTATGATAAAAATGCTATCTGATTTCATGCCTTTTAAAGGGATTTTTTAAATAATAATATTTCCTTTTATATAGTTCTATTTGCAAAGGTGAGTGTGTGAACTTCGCCTTTTTTGTTAAAAAAATAGATAATTTGGTATTTTATATCGCATTTCTTTTAAAAAATATCTCAAGTTACTATTACTAATACTTTTATAGTAATACATTTTATAGTAATTTTTATATGAACATATTCATAGTTTTTTTATGTTATATTTAGACATTTTTATGTTACATATAGACCCATCTTTTTACCTTTTGTAATTTGGAATAAAATTTTTTTTTGTAATTATAAAGCTCTCGTATTTTATTTCATAATAATAAAGAAAAAAATAAAGCTAAAGATATCACTTATTTAAGTGACGATTACCATAAATTAAGTTAATTAAAACCCGTATAATTGGCAGTTGACTACAACATTCAATTAAAATTCCTCTCTCATTGCAGTTATACTTGGTTAACGATATCAAAAGCTGGAAAACGTATGCTAAAAATTCTTGTGGCATGTTCAAATTGTTCGAACAAAAGGAATGTTCGGAGTATTTTATAAATATGCTGAATCGACTACAAATATTATTTTGTAGGTATATTTATTTGAACGCGTATACCGATACAATTTATCTCCACAGTTCTATGAAATTCTCGAATTTTCTATAACTTCTCTTACTCTATTCTCACCTAAACCTTCCTCTAATCTAAACTAATCGTTCATCCACGCCTAAAAAAATTCCTATGGAGAAGCGGCATTTTCGTTCCTCTCCCTGAAAAAGTGCGCTGGAATATTCATAAAACGTCGTAAATAAATCTACGAACGGCGCAGCACTAATCTGAAAGTCAAATTAAACGTTTTGTGAACATTTCAGAACATGGAACTCTATGTAATTGGCCCATTTATCTAAGACAATATGGGAAAATGTGTCAAATGGTTCAATAAACTGTAACAGTCGTAAGCTGGAAAAGCAAAACTAATACTAAAGAAACAAAGAATAAACTACAAACAACACAGAGAAGAAGGGATAAGTTTCCGTTTGTTTGTTCGCGAAGAACGCAGTTCTGACTTATAACTCCTCTCGCGAACGAAGCAAGGGGAAATTTCTTCCGGAAGTCGGAGTAATAATAGAAAACCGATCGACAAGTGAACAATCCTCAGGAGGCCGAACACCCGATATGCAACATTTACCACCTCCCAGATTCAGCGACAGATCAGTGTCGTCTGTCCCGAGAATGCCGCCGCCGATGAACAATCTGCCGCTCGGTGCGACGAGATTGGAATCATCACTTGCGCGACCACGAAACTTTGCACCAATTAGCATGCCACCGTACATCCCGGTACCCGGTAAAGCATTCGGACTTATGATGCCCGGTTTTATGCCGCCGATGGTACCACGTGGTGTCACAGAACCGCGTTACCCGATGGGGCTGCGACTTTGGAATAGGAAGATATCGCCGCCGATGCAGACGACATCCAGATTCGCGGCTGATAATAATAGTAACGTTCAGGCGGTGAACAACACGAAGGTCGACAAGCTCGGAGTATGTATTTGTATTCACTCATTCGTTCGCTCAATCATACGCGCGCACAGTTAGCTGTTTATCGACTGATTCAAACTTGTTTTCTTCATCCTTGAGTTTTGTTGTGTTGGGTTGTCCGGAAAGTCCGCGTGGATTTTCAAGCAAAATTCAAGTGGAAGATTTTCTTCTAGTTAAAAATAATTTTAATCTGTAATACGTTGTACAATAGTCTTCCATCTTTCGGGTAGGTTTCATAATTCCTCTCTCGTAGCAGTTCTAGGGTTTTTTTATATTATTGTTTTGTTATTTTATTAATAACACAATTTTTAGACTCATCCGCACCCAGATAACGAAGGAGATAATGAAACGGACGAAATTAATGCCGTTGAAGATACACTGTACTATTGCGCAATATGCGACAGAGATTTTTCGTCTGAGGATGCCCTAGCTGAACATAAAAGTACACACAGCTTTTGCGGTATCGACGGATGTAAGTTTTCAGCACATCCCCTGCTTGTTGAGAAGCATATTCGTATGCAACATAGTACCGGTTTATATGCGAGTATGAAAGACTTGTCAGAAGAGGGAGATGCAAAGAAATGGACAGAAGAACGGAAAAAGTAAGTATATAATAAGCGCTGTCATTTAGTTATTTAAATTACATTTTGTCGCTTTTTCTTGGCAAGTTACTAAAAAAATTCACTACCCAAAATGGTTCAAAATGGATCACTATAGTCACTTCTTTTTCTGAACTGTTGTTAAACTTCTAAAATATAAACGTCCTATATATATTTTTTTGCCGTCTCGTTTACCATCGATTGTCGCTTACTCACTGGACACTAGAAATAAGCACACTATATTAATATTGAACGTTTTTGTTTTTCGTATTTCTTTCGAATATCTTTATATTTTGATATAACTATAATAAAAACATCTGGATTTTAGTATGCTTAAGTTGAACATTTGTTAAGATTAAATTGAATATTCCATTATGTATTTATAATGTTAATATACATGCAATTTTATTTTATTCTTGCTAAAACAGGAGGTTTCCTACCAAAAGTAACATTAAGTTACGTGAAGTAGAGGATATAGAGAAATTCAAAAGAGGAGAGATAATCAAGCAAGACCTGCATACCTTCAAAACGACAAAAACGATGAATACGCGTGGAAAAAAACGCAAAGCACACAGACGATTAGCACAAGAAACTGTTAATGATTCTCATGTAGACGAATCATACAGAGGCGTACGTTCATTTCCTGGAACAAGTAAGTTGTATAATTATGTTAATGTATTTTTATTTTATATATTATTTATATCAATTTATGTCAATTTAATACAGTTTAATTTGTGTTAAGTTTTAATTTTTCCTTTCATACATAAGATATCGAATAAAATTTATTTTCTACTAAAAATTTCATTAATGTTTTACAGAAATTTTAAGAGAGGAATATTCGAGTAAAGCGTGCCTCGACGAAGAAACTGCACAAACAGATGTGGAAGACTCAGATATGGAAAATAATTCGGGCGAGGAAAAATACGATATTTCGGACGAGGATGATGATTTATTACAAACATCTGTAAAGCCCAAACTTGCTAATTTGTCTGTACCATCTTTAGTAGCGAATTATGAAAGCGAAGAAGGTAAATATAAACAAATTTTGTCCTTCTTAATACGTTCGCTACCACTGCCGCATATATGCGGCGCCCCGATTCTTGTATTTGAGCCCACCGTCGCAGATGTGCGGTTTATGATAACATATTACAATAAATTTGGAAATGAACAGTATTGTTGAGCTAAAAAACAATAAAATAGATGTAGGATGTTCTTGGTCTAGAGATAATTACATTTTTCTGTTATAAATATATCCTAAAAAGACCCATGTTAATTGGAGACATATTCTAACAAAAAATACTCTGGGCTATGGTGCAAGATTTTCTTCTCAGACTCTGGTTGCGAACGTGTTAATATTGTATGGGCCGCGCTATATATGAAGCCTTTTAGAAAGAAAAAGGTGTTTTACAGAAACATTTTCCTTATAAAAATGATAGTAACTCGAAAAAGCAATAATATAGCTTGTTAAATCACTCCCAAAAAACCATCGTCTTCAAGAGGCACAAAATCATTTTCGAGATCCAGAAAAAAATTCTTTTTTGAATCGCATATTATCATCGCCATCATAATTTTTTAAGGAAAATACTTCTGTAAGATATTATTTTTTTTTTTTACTGGAAGTACTATTAATCTATGGATCTGGAAAGCTCTTCAAATGTTTTTTGAAGATATGTAAAAAATAAGAGGTGCTATTCATAAAATTAAAATTGCTGCCATCTCTTGGAGGCGATTTTCAGGTTTTTCCATATTACAGTCATTTAAATCACCTTTTGTCACTTTTTCTTGGCAAGTCACTAAAAAATTCACTATTGTCTAAAATGGGTCACTATAGTCGATTTTTTCCTAAACTGTCGTTAAATTTATAAAATATAAATGTCCTATATATTTTTTTTGCCATCTCGTTTATTATCGATTGTCGGTTTTTAATGTTATTATTTTTTCAAATAGAAAATTTCAGATAAAATTTTCAAATAGAATATAGAAAATCTAAAACATTGATTTCAATTTTAGATAGTTCTCCCGAAGAAGCACCAATAAAAAATATCAAAATGGAGGATCTCCAGGATCATAAAATAGTAGAAAAAAATATTACAGTTCATGAAGAAATTTCAAATAATGCGCAATCTTGCACAAATACAAGGAAGAATAAATCGAGTCGTCAGACAATAGTCAACGAAACATCTCGACATCCTAAACGTCAAGATAAACAGAATCATAAGAAAAGTCAGAAAGTGGAAGATAAAAAACAGCAAAAAAATTTAACTAGGCATTATAACACATTACTACAAAAGTTACTCTCACGTTCTATACAACATGAGAGAAATTTAATATTCCAATGCATGAAATATATAGTAGAGAATAATTTTTTCGAGTCGTCTGGATGTGGAACATAACAATTATTAAGGATAACAATCAACTCAATAATATCATCAATATTATTCGTACAATATTCTGAGATCTGTGAGTACTTCGGAATATAATATAATATCTACAAATGAGAACATAAAAAATGTTCCGCTTTAATCAATTCAAATGCACTTGAATTTCTGCGAAAATAAGATAACAAAATGCACTCTTGTTTAGATTGCAGAATTTCAAAGAGGATATACGTTAATTTAAAAACCTTATCTTTTGTGAAAGTCAGTGTTCAGTGATTTATGACTCAAAATCATCGAAAATTAATTAACCGGATATAAACTGAATATCCTTCCAGTGTATATTCATACAGCCTCTGAGTCATAACTTCAACATATTTGAATTCGTTATGAATTTTACAAATGTAGGTGGTCAGTAAACACGATAATTCTCATTATCACAGAAATTCAAGTGCGTTGATTAAAATGGGATATAGTCTGTATATAGTATACAAGGTTTACCAAAAGTGTGGAAACAGTAGAATATGTTGAAAACGAAGCAATTAATAAAAAAAAGTTTTAGACAAAAATTGTAGCGTTTGGAAGGGGACATAAGTTGGTGACCTTAGCATCGTTGTATAATCAATAATTCAATGTCATTTCAAGATCAACTTCATTTTTTTTAATTAAATCATATAGTTCTTTTTAACACAACAACACATTTACATAAATAGATGAATTAAAAAAAATATCAGTTGCTAAAAACGGTTTTAAGAGATGAAATCACCCCCTATATGTAAAGCAGTTTTAAGCTTTTTTCGTGATATCTGAAGAACTATTCAAGATATCAAAAAATGTTTTATACAAAAGTTTTATAATAAAATTACTTCTATTTATTCACGTCAATAATATTTAAAAAAAAATGCTATTTAAGAAATTGTTGAAAATTTGTTTCATTTTTATATTTATATTTTTATATTTTTGAAAATTTGTTGTCATTTTTATATCAGGTATGATATACGTGCTTCTTTGATATTATTATTAAATGATAGAGCAACATAATTTTTATTTCAAGTATCACGTACATGCTTGATTGATATCATTAATTAATCTAACAGAATGATATCATTNTTCCGGAATATTTGAAATTTGGAAAAAAATAATTAGCATATTAAAAGCGTTCGCAGAATCCACTTGTAACATTTGGGCGATTTTTTGCACTTGAATTAATCGTTATTCTTGCAGGTTATATTTTATATTGAAATTATTGCAAGTTTTATGTCATTTAGATACCTGATAGTAATATCACGTTTATACGTCAGACGTGTATCCTATATCACACTTATGCATCATATTATTATTGACTGACATGATAACTTGATATAAAAATGATATCGCTCTGTCAGCTTAATTAATAACATCAAAGAAGCACGTACATCATATCTGATATAAAAATAATATCATTCTGTCATGTTAATTAATAATAATATCAATTAAGCACATACATCTTTCATTTAAAGCTAGTCAATATTAAATTTTAAAAGAAAACATGGAATTACGTTAAGAAAAATAACAAAATTCGTAAGTCGTTCAGCAACAAGAGATGAAGAACAATTATAAGTTGAATGATTCAACCTCGTGATGTTGATGTTGCTGTGCCTCGAGTCATGTGAGACTTGCGAGACGCTGAATCATCGGAGCTCCACGACAGGTACATATCATGTGCACCGCGTGTCGCGTGTGTTAGCCTGCCAATCACCTATCACCACGAGATCAAGTGATCCCGAAAAAAATTGCTTTATTTGGGCACAACCGGTGAGTCAGTCCTAGCCCATAGATTGCGGAGTATCATGCGTTCTTCTTACGATTGCTTGTCGTAAGCTGCAACCCCGGTCACCGGGATGCATCATAGCTTCTCGCATCACGTGTTCATTGTACTGTTCTTGATCTCGTTGCTTATTGTACGATGGATGCTTGCTCTATCCGTCGGCCGCGCTGCAGCGAACGCGGTCACTTGTTGCACGAATGTTGTATATAGTGCACAGAGACTGATAATGAAATTGCGCTCGTCGTTTCGTGCATCGTTCGTATGGTTCCTTGATTGTGGACTCGCCTTACATTCCCGTTCATATCGCGCCGGATCGAATTCCTGCCGTCGGCGGGAATCACGAGAATGATTCCGAACAATATATATATATATACAGTGAAGATTCTCGATACCACCGTGATTCCAACGAAATATACCGGCCATACCTGCGCGATGACATAATATAATATATGCGAATAGAATAAACAATTAGATTGTAATTAATACTATAAACGGGAAAAAATCTGTACATAGAAATATAAGAATAAACGATTCTAAAACTATAACATTGTTACCGAGGAAAATTATGTATGTAAACGAAACGTCGTTCGCCGTTTCGACGAAAACTCCATTTTCTTTTTCCAAAGGGGGTGGATGTTATAATCGCACATTATTTTATTCTCTCGAACGAGCCGAAACGCCGTCGAGGATGTTTCGACCGGAGCGAACCAAGGATGAGGTCCTAATCGGAAATAAGTACGATCAAATATTGAATAAACCATTTTTATTTCATCATTCGTCTCTTTGATATCGCCATCCCTCCATCGGCTCCAAACTGCTGAATCCGAGCAATAATTCGACCGTCCCGGACACGACGATACATTATTTTTTCATTTTTTATGCTTATTTTTTCTATAATATACATTCAGACAACGAAATAAAAAGTTACTTTTAAATGCTAATTTATCATCATACTTGGGACAACAGATTTTATTAATTATAAATTATAAAAAGATCTCTATGCAAGGTTTAGAATATAAACTTTGAAATTATTCCGTCACTACAGCTCTTGTTCTGGACGAGACCTAAGAGAAATTTGAGTTTTTCTAGTTATTAATACTTAAATTAATATTGGGTTGACAAATAAGTTCGTTCGGTTTTTTTGACTGGTATAAAATACAATTTATTTAATATACAAAATATATACTAATCAATAATGTATTGACCATTCTTTTCTATGACTTCTTGCCATCTTTTTACCAATTTCATAATCCCACATTCATAAAACGTCTGAGGTTTACCGGCAAAAAACTGATCCAGTTGCGTTTTAACAGCTTCATTATTGGCAAAGTTTTTCCCGTTCAGAGAATTTTGCAGCGACCGGAACAAATGATAATCAGAGGGTGCCAGGTCCGGTGAATAAGGAGGGTGAGGCAAAACATCCCAGCCAAGCCTTAACAATTTGTTCCGAGTAGTTAATGAAGTATCGGGTCTGGCATTGTCGTGGTGGAAGACGACTCCTTTTCGATTTGCCAATTCTGGACGTTTCGAACGTATTGCTTGATTCAATTTCGTTAATTGGGAGCAATATACAGTTGAATCGATCGTCTTGCCTGATGGTAAGAGCTCATAATAAATGATACCT